CTCTATATTTAGGAATTCATTAACAATTGTATATTTCAGATGTAGAGATTCATTGTCCTCGATCAGAATGGCAAATCGATTGCTAGAATAGTCTACATAACCGAATTGATTTTTTCCGAATTTAATGGTATAATCACTTTAAAAAAATATTTTAATCCGGAACTGACGTGCAAATTTATTAAAATTAAAGTATATAAAAGTTTCAGCAAGATATATTTAAGAATGAAAAGTCATTTAATAGAAAATAAATCCTTCGACCTAGATCTGAAATAGTAAAACCATTATAATCATAAATCACTGGTATTAATACACTCGCACATTGAAAGTCATTCCGTAATTACTAGGTTCAAAGTTCAACCAAGTTAACGTAATATCCCGATTCTCTTAGCTGAAATTAAGCCAAATCAAAGCATTAATTTTCTCGTAGAACATTTTATTAATGTATATTTAGAGTTTAATATTTAACTTTAGTATTCCAATATCGCTCGTACTTAATATAGATTATAAATAAGCTCATATATGCTAATAAATTTAGATAAACGTCAAACAAACTATTTTGAAGACTATTTAATAAGACATTCGCATCGATATAAAATAAATCAAACAGAAAATGAATAAATACATATTTATTATCATTCTATAAATCCATCTTTCAATCCGAGATCCAAGACACTATACGACTTGCGTCGAGATTTTTAGCGATAATCTATTATTGAATTTTATTTATTTTCAAAAATTACTTTTAAAAAATGATTCCTGAAATTTCCGATAAAATCATTGAAGTCAAGCTTGAAATGCTTATGGAGACATGGTGGATATCGAAATGAATTAATAATTTACACTTTCAACGACCTTCAAATGGATTTGTTTAATCGTCAATCAGAACTCCCTTATCCGGCCAAAAAATAAGAATTTTCAGATGATTTTAAACATTATTATCGAGCAAATATTTCTGAAACGCTTCGTATTACATTCGATTGGATTTGTTTTGGTAAGGCATCACTATACAATGGACTAATTCCAGTTTTCCCGTTATAGATGGGGGCTGACTTGTAATGGATGAGGGATATAGAATGACACATTGATCCAAGCTATATGTGAGAAATTATCAGGATCAGAATTTCGGAGATCTTTTTAAGTGTTTATTTATGAAAACGATTTTCCCGATATAAATTAATTAGATCTAAAAACCTTGTGAAAAATCAATTTGAGAATTCTTCTCTTGAATTATACATAAGGTCATCATTACCAGATTTTCGTTGTCAAGTTTACAAGTTACTGTACGAATTTTTATTTCGGAAAATAATATCATTCACTGTATTATAAGTTTGTTTCGAATATAATTAGTTCTACATTTATAATGCAAATTGTGTTAGAACATGATTTAGAGCAGTGTTCCGCAACCGGTGTGCCATCACAAGGTGTAAGGTGTGACGTGAACTTTTACATATTCTATTAATTTCAAGCTTTATTTATATATTTTCATCACAGTTGCTGTGCTTCTTATGCTTGTAATTCAAGTGTTATCTCATAAGTACTGCGCACTTATGAGATAAGATGATGTTCGTTTATTCTTTATTACAAGCCACGCATTTTTATGTATTTTAAGAAATTAAATGTAAAATAAATTTGCTCACGGATGTTGATGTCTGTTTAATAATAATAATAGGTTAGTGGGATTACGTAATTCTATTAATAGTATCATATCATACGCTTTTGAGGAGAATAACATTTTGGTGTGTCGTGTTGAGACATGTCGAATCGTGTGCCGCGAATAGAAAAAGCTTGCGGAACACTGATTTAGAGTTTAAATTATATTTGGTGTCTCAGTACATTAGCTGTACAAAACTCGTTGGTCTGTACTGTAAAAGACCTGAATTTATTTATATACAAATCAAACTTCGATTTAGCGCCACCATTTGTTCGACTCCGAAACTGACACTAAATCCAATGTGGTATTAAACTGAAACAGCTGAAACAATAAGAATTATATACAGTAAGTTTGATAATTTGAAAGTCAAATAATGTGATGGTAACAGCGTCATTTGCAATTGTAGATTTAGTAATTCACAGATATCGAAAAGCTATCTATTTATGGAGAGGATCCATTCACGAATATTAGTTGACACAATATCGAGGTTTGACATTATGTATAAGCACAAATTATATTTTTAAAGTGTCTGATATATCTTAAACTCTATTAGATCTTCGAAAGCTATTATACTTCGAAAATGAAACAAGTTTATAAATCACGTTTGATTTTTTAGTGTTTCAGACTATTTTCATTGGGAAATTCAAAATAAAATCAAGTGACGTAGCGGTATCTGATTCACCTTAAATTTTACTAAGAAACTGATATATTAATCACAGTTTAAACTTCGAATTGTAAACAAGAACAGGTTATCCGAATCCAGTTTAAAAATGTCGTATTTTGATTTTGCTAAAAGCAGTTAAACAGGAAATTTGAAATATTTTTTTCCAATTATAACTTTCTAACTGGACTTCGATCGTGAATATGTAAATCGTTAAGCTAGTTCTGACTCTTTTGAAGACTTAATCGATTCTTAAGTGTTTTTTAAGACATTTTTTGATCAATAATCAAGTAGTAATTTACAAGTATTTAAAGAAATTAATTTGTTTTAGAAGTATGCAACATTTGTCTTTATTTAAATTTCTATAGAGCGCGGTATAGTGAATCGCGCTTTGTTGCTTCGGTTCGGTTTTTTTTAACAGTAAAAGGCTATTGTACTTAAAAATTTTACTTCTTTTTATCAGATAATAAGACATTTTTAAGTCAAAAATAATTAATGGATATATATTCGATTTACAGAGATACAACAGAGAAAAATAAATTTGAAATTGGTACAAAAATTTATATATTACTAACTGCGTGTGCCCGGCGTTGCTCCGGCATTTGAGGGAGTGGGAAGATTGAAGAGGTTGGGTTGAGAGAGGGTGATAAAAACAATGTTTTAGTAACATGTACGGTACATTTATTGACCTTGAGTATTTACAATAATAAAGTTACAAAACACAAAAAATTGCACGGATTTAAGAGAGGTGGGCTTTAGGTTTGGAGACGAGGTTTCACAGTATTTTTTCTACGGAGTCGAAGAATATTCGTGCCAAACTTGGTGCAGATATGTTGAACGATATAGAATCCTTTACTTTACATACATACATATTTTGATTTATATATATAACTTATAGATCGTCTTTAATATCTTATTTTATTTTATTTCTATCAATTTTAATTTTAATATTTATTAGTAATGATTCCATTTGTTAACATAAAAACAATAAAAATATTTATAAAAGTTTGAAAATATTCTTCATAAAACTAAAAAAAAATTAAACAATTCTTAAAAACTGTAACTTTTAATTATGTCGTTTTTTCATCATATTTTAAGGATAGTAAATGAATAAATAAAAACCATGTTAATGTATCTATCATATTTTCAGTTCATAACTTAAAAAAAATTTTTTTTATTTTGGGGAAAGTTAGATAGGAAAAAATTAACTTATATATTAAAATATTTTATTCCTAATAATAGATATCGCTTGAATTTATTAACTTACAAGGAAAAGAATTATGAAGGAAACTTTCATCACATTTGCTTTTGAATCTGATAATTAGAAGTATGAAAGCTGCTTACTGTTATTTACTGTTTCTAACTTACTACGAAATTATTTTTGTAATCGAAATAGAATTTAGTTTTAAAATAATTAACAAAAAATTTGTGGAGTTATACTTGAATAATAAAATATAAATATATACAATCAATAAGACAATCATCGACGAATAATTCTGATTAGGCCTATACTATAAAGTATTTTTCCTTAATTAATACGCTTATATTACACACGCAATTCATATAATAAATAAATAAATCGCAATGATTATATTTAAATAAAAATAAATATACAAATTGAACTTTTCGAATTGCTTTCGTTCACCGGAACAACTTAACGTTTTTTAGATCGTGTTACACAAATTTAAAAAATTACAATATAAAATATTTTGTAATATGTTACGTTACTATAAAGATAATAAATCTTTACTATTCAATTGCATAATTTTTTTAATTTAATGCTCTAACATACTATAAAATTAAATTATAATTTGCATTTAAAGTATGTCTGCTTATTTTGAAGCTTACATTTTTATTATTATATTCCACAATATAAAATTCTTTTCCATATTACAAGTTTAAAAGTTTTCAATGTATATTGAAGATCTATCACAAATAATCCAACAATATTGAGTACTTCTAAGTGGCAAGCAGCTAACTAAGCAAACCACTTTGCTTACTTAGCCACTTATCAACTCAGAAGCATTCATACAAACCTTTCAGCAACGACCACTAACGTGAACTTTAAAAATGGTCACGGTTTGAATTTTTGGTTTAAAAAAGCTGCTGAAAAAATGACCGATGTTGGGGTTCGACTATATTATTTATTATAAATTAATAAATAGCTTCAAATAGAAATTTATTCTAATACAACTGAAGATATTTAAAGCTCGTCTGTGACTGAATAAATATGAAAACATACGATTTTGATCAATAAAAGTCTCAAAATTCCATTCATTTTTATTAACTGAAATTTTCTGACTAACCGAATTGTCTAATATTTTCTCTCTATCCCGGTTTAAAACACTTCAAAGCACACAAATAATAGGAGTTATCAACCATTCGATCCAATTACGAACCTTGCGTGGTTAAGTTCAAGCTTAATTGCATTGAAATTATGGAAAACGGTACTGTTCCTAATTTATTTAAACGCTTTAATATTTTATATCCTGTAAGAAAACTTCAATTCTTCATGCTTTATTGAAAAATAAATTCGTAAAGTGGAAATATCTGAATTTTAAATCTTTCGTACGGCCGAGTTCAGATTTTGTTGTTTCCATTTTTGAAAAAAGTATTGTAATTTATTTCTAGATATTATTTTATAAAATATAGAGTCGTACTGAAGTTTGTATAATATGTTTTTCTTACCTGGATAGAATACAGCCGTGCTGCGAGGTTGCCTTCGTTTGCTGCCGGGTGGTGACCAAAATACTCTTTTGCCAAATTCGCTGATTACCTAAAATACGAAAAAGACATCGTGTTACGAAAGGTCGATAGAATATACACTAGAGTATTTTCTATCCTCTACGGTTGCTAGGATACGTTTATTCTATTGATTGATCAACGTGTTGCTCGTCCAGAAAAGGGATAAAATTCCACTACCATACCTTCACAGTCAGCAACCCGTTTAGTTCTCTCTAAAAATAACTGTATAGATACAATAGATAGAGTTTTTATCGATATTCGGTGAAATTCGCAAAAAATAAAAATCAATAAAAAGGAATTCTTCCTGATTTAGGTTAATTGTTTAAAGAGAACGGAGTAATATATTTACAGGTGTTATCAAGGTCAAAGGTAAAAGACACAACCGAAAGCAACCTGGAATAGAAATGGGGTCATTACATTGTTGAAGACAAATAGTGAGCTTATTAGCTGAAAATAAGAAACTGTCTAGTTTCGAAGGTCAGAAGCGACGATCGATCGCCTCTTCTTGTCAAAATAAGACGACAATGGAAAATTTCTACTTCCTAATAAATCTTTGTGGGCTTAAAACCTTTCTCGCATGTTTTCATACGTTTTGCAACAATACAGAGACGTTCAACAAAATCGAAAACAAAACAAATAATTCCACATTACTACTTTTAAATTTATTTTCCTCCAATAAAAATAATCTAAAAACGAAAAAATTCCTTAAGAAAAAGAAATAATTATAAAAAATTGGATTGGCAAGAGATTTCAATATCGGTTTTTGATGGAAATGGCTACCCTATATTCAACTTCTTTATCGGATAAACTGGGATGCTACCGATAATTAAACCCTCTTAAATCCATCGAACATCGTTCGTCCTTCTCTTCCATGAATCATTTCGCTATAACAGATCAGAAATTTTTCACTGCTTTCCTCTGTCGACTTGCTGAATAATGTACGAAATAAAGTGAAAAAACATTCGTGCAAACTGACCTTTTTCAGTGGAATTTTCTCAGATTCCATTGCTCTTCGGATGAAGTACGTCGCACAATACACACTGAAGTAGTAGCTGCTGTACTCCCACAACTGTACATCGATGACGTCGACTGGAGGAAACAGACAACAAACGCCATCTATACGACCAAGGAGGAAAAATATACACACGACGCATCACATATTGCAGTGCCGTTTTCCTCATTTGTCTTCCACCAATCCCAATTAAAGAAACGTTTTTCCTTCCACTTTTCATTACTCAGAGCGGAGCAAAAGTGCGAAATCGAAACATATTAATTTAGATAATTTTAATTAATCTACGAATAATTTTCCAGAGACCATTTTAAATTAATTGCAAAACACATTAAAAAATTGAATCGCTGAAAACTTACAGGCAAAAAAATGACAAAGAAAAAAAAAGCTCAATTTTTCTATTTAATTTAATTTAATTATTTCCGTATGAGTTTGCATCTGCTGGCAAAACATATACGAAAAGAAATTTCTAGGAAGAGCCATTGAAACCATCTGACAAATTTTTGTAGCAAGTGTTTTGAAAAGGTCATTATTTCATAATATTCCTCCCGTCGTTAGTTTTGTTTACGGGGTAAAACTTTCGAATTATTAAATAAAAATTAAATTAGAAAATCCGCTAATTTAATCATGTCCAATAAGCACCCAAATAAAAAAAAATGAAACAATATACAGTAATTATATTGAAAGAACGTTGCGTTTGCAATTCAAATCGATTATTGACATCTAATTAATTACAAAATTTTTAATTAATTTGAATAATCGGTAGAGAATTTGCTTTTAAATTAGCAACACAACGTTAATCATTTCTGTAAAATTATATTTAATTATTAAAATAAATCTAATTAATTAAAATACATAAATTTAAAAAGTGATTGCATACGTTATCCGCTCAACATTATTGACTCAGTCTTATATGCTGAAATAAACCTAAATTGTAATAAAGTAAAAATTATCTAATCTGAATTTCTTTATGCATTTACGCTATAAAAAACAATAATAGTCATCTTTTGTAAATCAAAAACAGGCTTCTACATTTACAGAGATTTTCGAGTAATGGGAAACGGATTTATAAAATTCTCAAATAGCATAAAAATAAATACTTAAAAACAAATTTTGGAGGAATTGTTATAGCAATATTTAGATAACCTAATACTGTCTAACAAACGAATTATAAATTGTTATAACTTTTAACAATAAAAACTATTTTAATGACATTGAGTGAAGTGGTTATGGATGGCATCGAGTATGGATCTTTCTTCGTGTAATTTTACTTAAATATTTATCAAAACTTTCTTGCTGAATTTCGTTTTAAATATACAAAAATTTTTACGTATGATATTAGTTTTAATCGTCTTCAAATTCTTTACCAAATTAATATGATGAAATCGATTTAAGTTAGGGTTTTATTAGCCACATTGGAAGAAAATAAGAGTTTGCTTGGAGCTCCAAGCTTAAGAAGTTTCCAAATAAAATTGCATACGTGGACGGAAATTTCGAGGAACCCCCAAATTAGCTGACGCTTAGCATCTCCAGATGTGTCAATCCGTCTGTTCAACAATCGTCCAAAAATCACTCTTTTGATTCTTTTTATAACTTTTTGTGTGTGTTAATGTATTTCAACGTTATCTTTTTTAAATTAAATAATTACCGCAATATAATGTTTTATATTTAATTACAGTATTTACAACAGAGAATTTAGTAAAATTTACGATCATGATCCTAGGAATATTAAAAAGAAAACCGAAATAATCCTCTTACTATCTACCATTTAAAAGCTGCACAAATAACTATTATTAAAATGAAATAAAGAAAAATATATTCACATTTTTAAATAATAAAGAATCGCAGAAAATTCAAAAAGGAAAAATAAAATCGAGATAACTGAATTCAACTGAAAAAACAACTTATTCATAGAATAAAAATATTTTTTCAGAGCATGGAACAATGAAACTATCAGAAACTGATGAATTATAGATAATAATTTGTTTAATCTGAATTCGTTATTATTAAAAGTAATTTTTTAAATGATTCTTTATATGCCATTTAAAGTGAACAAAGATTGATAAGTTTTATATTGAATTTCACCTTAGAATAATTTACCAATGACATTAGAAATTCATTATTCAAGGATAATTAAACTCATTATTTTAACTAGTCGATATTTCTTCTAGAAAATCGTCTGTATGCTAAAATTAGCCAAATCTTCTAAAGTTATAGAACGTGAAAATACAAATTATTATTTTTAAAAATCTAAAGGTTTAATGATATTTCAATAAGATTAAATTTTTATTTATACATTAGATGAAACCCTGAGAGCCATTGAACAATGCTCCAATAATTTAACATAAAAGTGTATATTAAAATTAAATAACAATAAAGTGTATAAATAAAAAAGTACAGAAATTTAAGAGAATATTAAAATTAAGAACTGCATTTTTAGCTGATCTATTTTATGAAATTTAAAGTGCTTACTGCTATAGAGTTCTAACAAAAAAAAATATGAAATATATAAAGGGTTTATTTCTTATTTGATCATTACAAAAATTAGTACAGTACTTTCTTGAAGGTAAACATTTTAAGTAATATGGAAATTTGTAATATTATATATTACAAATTTGTAATAAGTAATAAGAAAAATTATTACTAAATGTACAGTACAGTAAATCATTTTATTATTTTATTGTTTTAACAGTATCTTTTATTACATATACTGCTTGTTTTACTGTTTATTTTAATTAATACTGCTCTAAATACTGAATCAGCATGTTTAATTAAACAACTAATACTTGTATCTGTAATCAATGATTTACCAACTATGGAGATTTCATTGAGCATTTTGCAGAAATATATGATTGTATTACTCTAAACAATGTACTAAAACATTTAATTACATAACTAATGTTTGGAATTGTTACTGGTATTTTACCAAACGTTGAAATTTTATTGTGCATTTTGTGAATATGGATGTAACAACTTCATAAATATTTGTGAAAAAAGCTGATGAGGGATTTAAGGTCCAAAATGCATACTTCTTTAGGAATAAATTGATTTTCAAAGGCTGATCTTGTGTCCAGTGACAGTGTAATAAGTCTAGAAATACTAAAATATAAACTTTCATCTATAATAACGTATCTTCTATTACCAGGACTTATTATACTGGCACTACAGAAATATTACAGTTTTACAGAAAAACATTTTTTATTTTACTTAATTTTTCTGTAAAACTTTGTAATATTTCTGTAGTGCCAGTATAATAAGTCCTGGTAATAGAAGATACGTTATTATAGACGAAAATTTATATTTTAGTAAGAAAAAAGGACATTGAGGCATTTTAATTAAAGTCTAGAAATAAAGAGGCCAACATAGTGCTCATAACTATACCAAGACTAGACAAGAAACATATTATAGAATATAGAAATTGTTAGTATTATCTTTACAATAGTTAATTGCCGATTAAATTCTTATTTTTATAATAAAATATTGTTATCATAGATTTGTAATGAGCATAATATTATGAAGTTTATTTCTGTTACTATTTCTTCAGTGAATAAATACCAATACTTAAAAATTTTTATTTTGTGTTTGCAAATTGTTTAAACTTTCAATACAGATTTCGCTCTAAATGAGAAACATTACATTTACCAACAAATTCAAGTTTAGATTAAATGACTAATATTTGACAGCAAAATAAATTATTTACCATCATTTAATATAACCCAATTATATAAAAATGGTACACTTATAAATTTGCTTTTGCATAAAGTACTCACATGTATCTAGTAGAATATAGCAGAAATAATTGTTTCATGCAAATAAGAAATAGAATATTGTGTTTAAAATTGGTCATGTTGTCTTCACTAATAAATTCTCTTTTACTTGTATTTTAAGCAAATCTTTTATAAAAATTTAAACTGTGTTAAAGACACTTCAGTTCTTCAGATTCAACAAAAGAAATCATCAAGGATACAAGACAAAACAAAGATGTCTTGACAAGACAAAAAAAAGATGTCTGATATGGATGT